TCGCAGTCCTCCTCCTTGTGTCCAATCGATCCGTGGTCGGGAGGAGTGATGGGAGAGCCGAGCCTCTGCCTCCCGCATCCCCACATCCCCCCGGACACTCTCATCTCTCTCCGCCGGCTGCTCAGCGCCTCGGCGTGACGCGCTGAAGTAAAGGTGAGGAAGAGGAGGAGGGTACGAACTTGTGTGGAGTGCCGCTCTTTTTTTATTGTAGGAGAGGGAGCAACATTTTCACTTCTCATGACTTTTTTTCCTCACTCTGATCTCTCCATGGGACTCAGGGAGGTGATGATGGCAATCTGGAGCAAGTCGCTTTTGCGCGAAGCCGGTTTTTGTTTGATGAGAGGGGCTGTTTGTGCGCTGTAGCCTTCTTCTCTGTGTGTTATCTTCTCTGGGCTGGATCTGGACAGGAGGCGCAGAAGGATCGGACTCATCACTTCTGGGGAAACGGAAACAGTGGAGTTGAAGCAGAAAGTGGCCAAAGTGCTCTGCCGTCTCTCTTGGATTTGTTACACTTGCCAGTTTAATCATGACGTGGAGGTTATAAATCTGGGTAAGGCGGGATTAATTCAGTCCTTCCATGTTCACTTTAATTTGACTTTAATTCTTCTTGTGTTTTCACAGCACCCTGTCAGTATAAGAAACAAGATCAAGACTTAGAGAATGGGTGATTTGAGACTTTAAGGTTCATCAGCCACAATTTAGCAAAAACATATTCTGTATCTAATAAAACAAGCAGGGATTTCCACAGAAAGCCGCGCCGATCTCTGCGCCCTCTCCGATACATCCTTGCGTAAAAAAAAAAGGCACACATGATGACGGTTTTCTCCCTCACTGTGCGCAGCGCGTGCTGCCGAGGAGAGCTCGAGGTGAGACTAATGCAGTGATTTTTTTCCCTTTTTCTTTAATCACAGTGAGAGGTTAAATAAGCGGGGACTGGGAACGGAGAAGAGAGTGTGTGGATCTCAGGCAGATGGAAGGAGAGGAAAAAACAGAAACTGGAAATAATAATAATAAAAAAAACAAGAATAATCTGGGTTCTCCGGGCAGATTGCGCACGGAGGCTGGGAGGTGTGATGCAGAACCTAATCGTCACACTCTATTGGACCCCCCCCCCCCCCCCCCCCCCCCCCACCCCCCCCCCCCCCCCCCCCACACACACACACACACGCACGCACGCACACACTAACCAAGGAGCGAAAAGGACTTGGTGCATGTTAATGGACGCAGTAATGAGACCCAACCCCTATCGTGTTGTAATTGTTAGTCATCCTTGTCTCCCTCCCCTCCCTCCTGCCCCCTCTCTGGTATCCCACGGCTCGGCTCTGCAATTTGTAGTGTATTGAGAGAGTGTAATTATTTCCCCCATTGTTTTCTCTGTCTCTTTTCTTTTTCTTTTCTTCTTCCTCTTCTTTTTTTTCTCTCCTGGCCCCTTCACAGAAAAGTGCTGTTATTAGGATGGACAGGAGAGAGAGTGGGGACGGTGTGTGTGTGTGTGTGTGTGTGTGTGTGTGTGTGTGTG